GGGGGTCTGCAGGATGCAGCTCCACACCACCCACCGGGAGAGCCTGCTCCCCAGGTTCTTCCTCTACGCCAGGGCCACAGCCCCCAGGTCCCTCACCTGCAGGCTCTAGTGTATAGGCCAGTTCAGCCCTTGTGGTGGCACTTTGGGAGAACCAGTGAGAAGGGAACTCCAATTCCACCACACAGGCACCCAGGGATGGCTGGAAACACAAGGAAGGTAAAGGCTGTGGTTGGCCCTGGGAAGGATGCGAAGGAGTCTTACTCCCATTGGCAGAAAAACCTAAACTGAAGAGGTCCATAGAAGGCAGAACCAAGGACTTGTAGCAGAATTGTAGGGACAATCTTGATCACATCCCAGGACCTACCTATAGCTCAGAAACAGCAAGAAACAGACCTCTCCAGCGGGTCTTTGGGCCCAACCCCACAATAGTAGAAATAAAACTCACAAAAGTTCAAATCTCTACACACAAAGGCTGATAGCTCTGTTACAGTGTCTTACATCTGTCTCATTTATTTCTTTTCCAACTCCAGATAAGTGGGAACTGTTGTTAGTCTGTTTTACAGATGAGAAAAAAACTGAGCCTCAGAGACATTAAGTTATGTACCCAAAGTCATGTACCATAGACTGATAATCCTTAAGGGAACCTCTCCTAGGCTTATCAGGAACCAAAATCGGAGTCCGGTGGCTCATGCCCCTAGACTTCCCAGACTGTAGTAGAGTCCTTTCCTCTCCACCCTGGCACCACACCTGCACGGCACAGCAGCAGAAACAGCTCACTCACCTGGAAGCGGCAGGCTTGGTGGGCAGTGCCTGCAGGGTGCGTGACATGCAGTCGGGCACAGGGCAAGCTGCCAGGTCCTGGCGGCCAATCTTGCCCTTTGAGGTGGAAGAGGACACGGGCATAAGGCTCTGCTGGAGTCACAGCTGCTTCCACGGAAACAGCCCGCACATCCCAAGGGACAGGCCGCCGGTGGGGTTCAGTGACCCTGGGAGGGACCACCTAGAAAAGAACGAGGCTGCTCAACTGCAGGGTGGGGTGGAGAGGCAGACAACACAACAGCCAGGTACGGGGTGGCAGGCTTCTAATCTCAGCATGGCAGGAGATTAGGGGTTTCAGTCTTCCTGTGTAGAGAATGGGAAAAGTTGTCTATGGCCACACCACCGTGATGCACCTGATCTTGCCTGACTTCAGAAGTTAAGCAGGACTGGGCCTGGTTAATGCTTAGTAGAAGAATGAGAAGAGCCCCAGAACCCCAAACAGCAGAACTCATGAGTCTCATTTGTCTGGGAGTCCCTGGGCCCTAGACTTACCTGCTGAGTGGCAAAAGGTGGGTAGGAGGCCCGGAGAAGTGGCTGTGCCCTGGGCCAGGGCTGCAGGAGCAGGAAGGTCTCAGAGCGGGAGCCCAGAGAAGAGTTAGCAGGTGGGTAGTGGCCCACCTGCTGCACACGAAAATGCTCAGGGGCATCCAGGAGTTCCAGGGCCACTGGCAGGTAGATGGGATCCAAGGTGTCTTGATTACTGCCAACTGAAGAGGAATAAGGGGTAGATATGGGATGGCTCTGGAGCTAGTAGAGGTTGAACTGAGCTCCATCCTCTCTGTGGGGCTGGTCAGGAGAGGGAGAAATGGACTACAAATGTCCCATCTCCCAGATGTAGAGGAATAATCCCATTTCACAGATGGGGTGACTGAGGTAACAGGGAGACTCACAAAGGCAGAGTTTGAGAGTCAGGGATTGGAAGTAAACTTCCCAGCCAATCCTCTACCTTCCACAGACCTTGCCTCTCTCTCCAACAGAGCCTTTTCAATATCTCCCTGACATGTGCCTACTGCCTACCTGCCTCAGATACCAGGGCATGTGGAGGGCAGGACTCCTGCACTAGGGTGTATTCAGTTAAAGATAGTTCTGAGTTGAACTTGGTAGAAATGGAGACTCTTTTGTTGTGTCTGGGTCCTTTGGTGTACTTGGTTGGACACCCCCTCCAGGTCCAATTATTGCCATGGCACACCCACACCAAATTTCCAAACTTGATCCCTTCTTCCCTGCCCCAGCTGGGGGTGGGCTTCAGGAATGAGACTTGAGGAGGGTACCAAAGAGGTCCATGAGGCTACTGGCACTCACTACGGGTGGGAACCATAAGCCTGAGGAGATGGAATATTTAATCATAAAAACCACAAAGGCCCACTAAGGCTATATTGATTTGTACTACAGTCCCTAAAGAGTAACAATTTTTAAAGCACTTAACCCCACACAAACTCAATTTTACATGTATTAACTCAGTTCTCATACAGTTCTGTAGGTTAAGTTCTATTACTACAAATTCTACTTAATGGATTTAGAAAATGATGTGTGAGGGCTCTCCAACCTGGGGTGGACCTGAGAGGCCAGTAAGGAACTCATCACCAAGCTACCCAGCCTTTCCATCCAATGCAACACCATTATGCCATGTGGGCTTCACTCCTAAACAGGGCCAAGAGCAAATGCTGCCTCCTCAAGGAAGCCTTCTGTGGTCATTTAACCCCTTGCTAGACTTCTTGTTCTGGCTCTGCTTGCTGCTGCCGCTTTTCTGAGGTAGGGAACAAGCCTCCCATACCTACCTGCAGAGTCCCTGGACCACAAGTCCGGCCGATGTGCCTGGCTCTGCAGCCCCTCCTGAACTAGCCTTCTGTCAACTCCAGGCTCTGTCTTATTCTGGAATTCCCTCAACTCTCCCTGGAGAGGTTTCCGGGGAGCCCAGAGATGAGTTTATGTCCTAGCTGTACTCCATGAAAGACGGGCCAGTCCCCAACATCTCGGAGCCTAGATTTCCTTGGTGGTAGAAGGGGTGGGAGTAGTTCATGACCCTGTGGGCAGGGGAGGGCTTTGTAAACTGCGGTAGAATTCCCGTGGGAAGTGAGATTGTTGGTGAGCAGAATGGTTGTGACAAAGCTCTCCTCCCTCCCTTCACTGTGGAGGGGTTATTAGGGCTCCCACCGGGTCTGCAGGGTGGGGAGCAGGTGCCTGAAACAAGTTCCTGAACCAGCTCCCTCTCAGCCCCACAGATGAGCTGGGATGTGGGGGGGGGGGGGTCTTCCCTAGAGCCACCATCACCACCCCCATATCCCTAAGGATAACAAGTGAGTGACTGCTGGCCCCTGGGGTGGCTCCGGTCCACCTTCTAATTCACTGCTTCCATAATTACAAGATGCTCACTAGTCCCAACTCCCACGGACTCCCACGGTCTCCCATCACTGGGAGTCCAGCTCTCTTGATGGGGGCAGGAGGATAGAGAACGCTTCACCATTTCCCAGTCTCCCATAGCATCTTCCACCTTTCAGCCCAGCTCACGTCAGGCACGAGGTAGCTGCTGCCCCTTACCCAGTGATGGGTACACCCACAAGGGCTCGGAAAGGCAAGGCTGGGGCTCTCCCTGAAGACTCCAAGGTCAGAGATCTCCTTGGGACAGGGAGAGAGAGACGCACATCTCTCAGGTCCCAGGCAAAGGGGCTGTTTTGCATTCCTGTGACTGGCGGGAGGGCTGGTGGGGGCTAGAAAAGCAGATCGGGGAGGGGTGGTGCACCTGGAAGCAGGGCAGCGGGTTCGACGCTGGGGCTGGAGAGGAGGCTCGCAGAGGAGTTGGGACCCGGCAGGTGAGGATGGGAGTGAAAAGACTTTAGGCTCAGGTGGGAGCATCCAGGTGGCGCACAGGGAAGAAGGCAAAAGAACAGCTGGCTGGGAACCGGTTTCCCAAGGTTGGACCTCTCCAGGACATCGCTCTGGGTTTAGTTCCAGGGCCCAAGGGCTTGGGGGCATCACTGACGCATGGCCTCGGCCGAGCCGGGTCGCCCCTCCCCTCCCCTCCTTTCCCGCTGACCTCTCACGACTTCCAGGGCGAGGGCCACCAGGAGGCAGAGCCAGGCACCATAGGGCCCCCGAGGGGCCGCAGCGGCGCATCCAGCCATCGAGGCGCACATCCTTCCCACTGAAGGCGGGTTCTAAGCGCGCGGCTCAGGTGGCTGCTATCCGGTCCCGCATCTCCCGCGCCTGCTCCGCGCCGGCCCCTCTGCCAGCCAGTTCTCTGCGCCGCCCGCCCGCGGCTGCAGTTCCCAGACAATGGAGCGGGAGCAGTAGGGTGGGAGGGAACGCAGGCACATGGGCTGTCCCCTCCGCCCCGCCGGGTCCTAGTGCCCTGCGGATCCCAAACCCAGAGCGCCCCCCCACGCCTAAGGTCGGGAAGAAGTCTCCCTGGAGACTGAGCAGATTGATGGCCTCTGCCAGGAGGCACAAGGTGAGTTCTTCTGGGATTTCTCTTGGAAGCTGATGATCAAGGAGAAAACAAAAACCAAAAACCAAAAAAATCGTTTCCTCTGCCTCACGCCCTCCCCACAAGCATCTCTGATGTAAAGGCATCTCTCTTTAGAATCAGAGCTAGAATTCAGGGACACAGGGGACCAGAGTTGGGAGGCAGAAAAGGAGACCAAACCAGGCCAGATGACAACCCTGGGCCATTCCGTTTGTTTTGTGCCCAGCCCCACCCCAGGGAGGGTCCCAAAGGGTAAAGGGTACAGGCTGGTCAACCCTTCTGAGGGAGACTTGACTTCGATCCTGCCCAGCCTTGCCCCCAGGTAGTGTTGGGAGAGGTCCAGAAGAAGATCTGGTATCTCCATGGCAACCTAAAAAAGGAAAACGAAGCACAGACATGCCTGGGCCACCTGGAGCCACAGTGAAGATCTTTGTGCGGTAAATTCCTGAGTCTGGGAGGAAAGCCAGTCTTTCTAGGCTCCCCAGGCCAGCAACAGGACAGCATAGCACTCCAAGGGAAGGAGCACCTTCAGTTCCCTACACTGCTACCAGATCTGCAAGTTCTACAAGAGAGTGCATGCCTCCCTCCAAGGTTCTGGAGGGAGGAGTACCAGGTACAGACTGCCTTCCTGAGCCTCCCTTCTCAGCAACTTCCTGCTAGAGAAGAGTCTGGCAGCAGAGAGACTTTGAGTAAACACATTTTATTCAGAAGAAGATAATAAAATAGCGTGCACTTTATTTTAAACCAACCAAGCACTGATAAAAATAGATACCACTGCAGCCGTGATTCCACATCAAACCTTATCAGTAAGAATGGGCATTTATTCTTCACATCTTGTGCTGGACCTGGCACAGGACACCTCCCTCCATGAGGGCCCTAAAGGCCAAGGCCAAGAGTGAGCAAGTGCCCTGGTGGAGAGGCTTAGTGGCGGGCTCCCCCTGGGCTCTGTAGAACACATCAGGGCAAGGCAGGACAAGGCCATGCTCTTCCCAGCTGCTGGGACACAACAGTTGCTTGGGATGGCAGAGAGTGGACAGGAGAAATGCAAGACATTGGGTCCTCCTGCGTTTCTCAAAGTCCCTGAAATCCCCAAAGGACATCGGACAGTCCCTGCAGGGCCCCAACTGCAGGAGAGTTAGCCTTTGCTTTGGCTGCAAGAGTCGGGATTCTGCAAGGGACTACTCTCTCCGAACACAAAGTAACCATAGCACACTTTCCTACATTCCGTGTGGCAAAGGGCAATTGGAGGGTGCTGTTGACTCCCGTTAAGGCACTTGTAATGGAACCCAGATGCGCAGGCTTCCGGGGACCTTGTTTCTCCCCTATCCTCGGGTCTAGCATCTCCTGCCCCTTCCCACTGCTGTGCAATGAGGAAGACAGTGAGGGTCTCGAGGGACTTGGGAGGGTGGTGTGATGGGAGTCTGAGTAGGAAGAAGAGAGCTGGGGTGTGGTCAAACAGGAGCGTCAGTCTGGGGAGGCCTTTTGTAAGGAAGCCAGGCAGCAGCAGGTTAATCATCATGGAGATCAGTGGGCAGTGGTGCTGGCTGAGAGCAGAAGCCAGAGCTGAGGCCCCTCCAACCTGCCCTGGGGGAGGCAGGCTGGGAGCAGAGAGAGGGCAGGGAGTCATCCCTTGACTGAACACCTGCAGAGGACAGGTTCTCTTCTCTCAGCTAGGGGCTAGTGCAGGGGTAAAGGTGTCAAGGGTTCAGACACAGGCAAGGAAAGGGCAGGGGGCTACAAGGAGGGCCATGAGACCCAGAAGCAGCTCAGCTCTTTGGTATGGTGAGGGTGTCACTGTGGGACATCCCTGTCATTCCTCCTCCATACTCCGGGTTGCCTTGGCTGCTCGCCTCTGCCTCCCACGAAGCTCTTCTATCTGGCGCTCCAGCCCTCTCACCTTAGCTTCCAGGTGGGTCCCTGAGCCCCTGGAGCCAGTGAGCCGGCTCAGCAAGGCAAAGAGAGTCAACAAGGCCAGGAGCATCAAGGCCCGGGTGGAAGGGTCGGGCACAGACCTCACCAGTCCCACAAAGCCAGCCACAAAGAGGACAAGCTTTAGACCCCCCAGGATCCGCCCTAGTAAGGCCAAGACCAAGCCCAGGAGCAGGGACAGCAGCCAGTAGATGACCAGTGCTGCTGCTCCCCACAGCAGAAGGGTCTGGACTTGGCTGGGGCTAAGCTTCAGGCCCTGGGTGAGATGGTCACCTGGAAAGGAAAAGGACAGAGTCAGCAATCTAGAGATGTGGTGAGGGCAAAGAGGGGCAAGAAACAGTGAAGCAGAGGGGGACAACAGCTTGACAAAGGCACGCCCACTCTTACAGGCCCGGGAGACAGATTTGAATCCCAGCCTCCTGGCCGTGGGACTCGGAAAGACTACTTTGCTCGGGGAGATGAAGTTTTATTTATTATTTGAGGACAGTCTGTCTGCCTCCCAGGGTTGTGGTTAACCAAAGAGGAAACCGTGCACCTCTGCACAATGTCCAACACAAGCAAACCCCTGGTACAGAGGTAAGAATCTCTAGCCTCCCCTTCTATTGTACTTCCAGGGACATCTGCAACTAGCTGGGGGAATGTCTAGCCCCGCATAGATGAACCCCCACCAACAGCAAGGTCAGACACAGCCCTGGCTCTCTAATTCTCTGCCACTCACCATCCAGCCCCAGGGCACTCAGCAACTGGGCAGCGATCCCAGACAGGGCAAAGCAGGCCACAGAGATGGCTGATGAGATGGCCCACATCACCTGTAACAGGGTCTGTGAAAGAGACAAATACATCAGGAATGAGGCTCTTCTCCTCGTGCCTGGTACTACTCGCAGGGAAACCCCTGACCTGTTTCTTCCCCAGGAGATGGGTTTGGGTCAAAAGTCTGTGGACTCTGAGTTGGGTGAGGAGGCTCTTCTGCCATGTCTCCTTCCTGACCTATAATCCAGGACATCTGAGACAGACTTCAGCTGGTCAACTGAGATGTTCTGGAAGTGACAGGAGGTGCACTTGTGTGTGAATGGGGGAATCACCATATCTGCATGGTAGCCACCCTATGAAACGGGAGGCTTCCAAGCCTCCTAGGGAATCAGGAAGGTGTGTGAAAGAACGTCCATGTGGGGCTGGGACATGTGAGGGAAAAATTGATCAACTGCACTTCATTATGGATTTGTATGTGTGTCTGCATGTGTGCCCATGCAGGTCCATGTGGACACCGGAGGCTGACATCAGGATGCCTTCCTCACGTCTCCACCTGTTTTTTTTAAGATTTTACTCTTATTTATGTATCCATGTGTGTTTGTATATGTGTACGAATATGTGTGTGTGGGGGGGGGGGGCGGTTGAGAGGTGATCAAAGAAGCCGGAAGAGGGTGTTGGATTCCCTGGAGTTGGAGTTATAATCAGTTGTGAACCACCTGTGGGTAGTGGAAACCAAGCCCTGGTCCTCTGCAAGAGCAGCAAGCATTCTTAAATACTGAGCTGCCTCTCCAGCCTCTCTGTTTTTTGAGACAGGGTTCTTACTTAACCTGGAGCCCTAGTTTCTGCTAGACTGGCCAGCCAGCAGGTTGGTATCTGCCTGTCTCTTCACACCCTACTTCCCACTGCCGAAGGTTACAGACATGCACACCATGCCCAGTTTTTACATATGTCTTGGAGACTGGAACTCATGCCTGCTACTTGCATAGCAAGCACCTGACCCACTGGGCATTTTCCCACCCTCTATTGTGGATTTTATAAACCACTGGCTGGGCACTTTGGGATGAACTATCAGAAGGGACACCACACTAGAAACGGCACTGGGTGGAAGAACCGATCCTGCCATAGGCCCTTCGTGAACCCCATCTCACTTTTACAGGTGAAGACACGGACTCAGAGCTCTGCTCTGCCAGCTCCAGAAGCTAGGACTGACTCAGATCCAAGGCTCCGTGGGTCCTGCTAACATGAGTTTGTAAAAGTAGGTCATTTTGCAGCCTTTCTGGCCAAATGGACAAAAGCTGGAAAAAGATGGGGTGGTGCTAAAGGGCCGGAGGGTAAGAACCTGGCAATCAGCCAGCAAGAGGCAGGACCGCCAGGCTGTATTTGCGGAAGGTGGGGCTCTCCGCAGTGGGGACTAGGACAGAGAGGCTGTGGTGGCAAGGTGAGGTGGTGTTAACAATGTCTCTCCTTTTGTTTATGCACACAGCCACTACAGGCACGTTTCTTACCTCTGAAATCACATGCATGGTCTCCGGCCCTAGCCAGGCATCCAGCGTCTCCTTCAGAGATCGGCCAATCTGGGTCAAAAGATCAGCTGAGGCCTCCCTCTTCTGCTGGCCAGGTGAGGCAAAGTCTCGATAGGACTGGGATGATGATGAGTGGACGAGGAGAAGGGCCACAAAGACCAGCAGGACAGCTCTGAACAGATGCCTGCTCCATGATGGATTGCTGTCTGAGCCTGCCATGCTTGCGCCTGTCAAGAGAGGGCCACAGGGGAAGCAATGATTCAGACCTGACGGATACTTTTACTCTCTCAGCTGCTCGGTCATTCCCTTCACCACCCCTGGTCCCAGCAAGCATCCCAGACAAACCTAAAAAGAGCTGTGCACCGAAAAAAGATGAACCAGGACTTGCAATCTAAGTTGGGCACAACCATCTGAGTCACAGCTTCCTCTTTTGTATTCTCCACCGGATCAATTCACCAGCATTACTATTCCAGGCCTTAAAGTGGCCAAGATCTCACCGCAGTCTATTCCTCCAGATCTAAAATCGGAAGGCCTGTCTCTACATCTTAGGCACCATGGACAAGAGCAAATTCTAAGTCTCTAAAGGCTTCATCCCAAGAAGCTTACAATGTACTGAAGCCAAAGCTGATAGAAAAATGTAACTTAAAAATAGCACGTAAGTAGGATTACCACTGCACACCAATGCAAAATAAAGCACTCGGTTAACAGAGCATACAAGAATGACGGCATTTGCAACAGTTATCTCTGTAGGGCCATTATGCAAGGTGTTTTTTCTCCCTCACCCCTGTGGGCATAGGCATGAAGAAACAGTCTGTAGATGAGCACTTGTGCAAGGTACTGGGCTTAGAACGATTTCAGCCCAAGCCTCTGCTTCCAAATCCTACCCTTGCTGGGAGTCAAAGTGTTCAGCGGATCTCAACTGGGGCTGCTCAGTGACATCACTCGAGAGTGGCACAAAGTGCCAATGTCTGTGACCAAGCACTCTGGTTCTGATGGCACTGTCTCTCTGTGATCTGGTCTTGGACATGAGCTCCTCAATGATTCGACTATCCAAAGTTGAGAACCATTCTAAGAATATAGGGAAAGGCTAAACTCTGTGTCTCCTAAACTGTCATTCAACAGTCGGTGTGAGATTTCTGTGACTACTTGTGCAAGGTTGTTTTTGTTTTCTGTTCTCATCCCCAGCAAGCAAGCAATTCATTTTGCACTGGATATCTTCTAGTTCAACTTGATTTTGACATTACCTACCTGGAGGCAGGGTCACATCCTTTTGCCTATTTGGGAGTGGGAAGTTGAGGTCATTCTGTGTCAATGGTTATGATATAGTGTACACACACACACACACACACACACACACACACACACACACAAGCAGTTTGGTTTTCATCTATCCTTTCTGGCTTAGAGCTCACATATCTCATATAATTTAATACATGGAAAGAACAAAAAAGGTACCTCATTAAAAAAAAAAATAGCCTTTTAGACAGCTTCCTGCAACATCTTCAGAGGATGAAGGATGAAAGACAGCCCTTTCCAACATAGAGTTTATGTTAGTAAGACCATTTTTAGAGATCTCCCCAGATAACCTCGGGATTAGAGGGGTAATTGCCAGGGGGCTCAGCCATGCCTTTAGAGGGATGAGACTTTCATCCTCAACCTCTGAGGAAGAAGGGTGGCTAATGCTTTTGTTGATTCCCATGACCAATCTGTGTGCTGAACACACCTATATAATGTGATCAGTCTTTGGTGGGTTATCCTTTCCAAGGTTATTTCCTCATCTTTCACCCACTGATACATTACTAACATCTGAAGAGAAGCTGCACCATAATGATTAAAATGTTAACTGTTGCTGGGGTAGGTAGCTCAGTGTCAGATGGCTTGCCGAGCATGTGCATGGCCTTGGATTTAATCCCCAAATAGGTAGATAGATAACTGCTAAATAATCTTCATAGTTATAGAATCCATAAATTCTGGCGACTTTTAGATTACATCAGGATGTATAATATCCTTTCTTGTTCTTTAATTCTATGCTTCAACTAATACAAAACATGTAAATAAATGGCTACAAAGTCTAACTTACAGATAAGTAATGTCTATCTAAGAACTACAGGGACTTGCCCCAGTAGTTATTCATGATATTCTAGCCAGAAGGAAAAAAAAAAAAGATATAGCTGCATGCCCTGGATGAGAAGACCCCACTCAGCATGTAGCACCCCCATCCCCACCATATTTCACTCTACAAAACCCGTTTATATATCTACACTCCATATGATGGAGATTTGAGGCCAGCAGCCCCTTGTTTTCTCAGAGACAGGCCCTGAGGGAATCTGATTTCCTGCCCACAAATTCTCTCCCGAGTATTTGCTTTCCAGCAATGAGAGGCAGGAGCTCTGTTCACAACTTCACATGCCAGTTGCCAAGTCCCAACTTATTTTACCTGTTCTCTGTCTGGATATAAGTCAAGGTTCCTATAGCCCCTTTATCAGGTTCAATGAATTGGCTAAAGAGAGTCAAGAGTTCAGGGAAACGTTGTGGAAATTACTTTAACTATGTAAAGATACATTACATTTGTTTATGCTGTGGAATATTACTTAAACTGTGTAAAAGTTTTAACTATGGGCCGGGCGGTGGTGGCGCACGCCTTTAATCCCAGCACTCGGGAGGCAGAGCCAGGCGGATCTCTGTGAGTTCGAGGCCAGCCTGGACTACCAAGTGAGTTCCAGGAAAGGCGCAAAGCTACACAGAGAAACCCTGTCTCGAAAAACCCAAAAAAAAAAAAAAAAAAAAAAAAAAAAAAAAAAAAAAGTTTTAACTATGAAAAGATGTGCTGCTGTTGCACCCGGCCTGCCTAAGGCACCTGACTGGCCTAATAAAAGGCTGAATAGCCAATAGCTAGGCAGAGAAAGGATAGACGGGCTAGCGGGCCGAGAGAATGAGTAGGAGGAGAAATCTAGGCTTGGGAGAGGAAGAGAGAAGGAGAGAACAAGGGAGAAAGAGAGGAACACACCGGGGCCAGACGCCAGGCAGCCACCAGACAGACAGACAGACATGGAGAAGCAGTGAAAGTAAGATATACAAAAGGAAAGAAAGGTAGAAATCCCCGAGGCAAAACACAGATGAAGAGAAACAGGATAATTTAAGTTCTAAGAGCTAGTGGGGCAAGCATAAAATAAGGCTGATCATTCATAACTAATAAGACTCCATTTCATGATTTGGGAGCAGATTGGTGTCTACCACCCTACCCCCCCCCTCCAAAAAAAGTCTGGTACAGGGGAACAGTTTCACTGGTTGGATGATCACAAATAGTTCTTATAAAGGTTACTGATGTGCACCAGCTGTGAAGATGGCAGCACCAGGTATGGGGGAAGGAGTGCAGAGGGTCCATGCCCTGTCTGGGTATACCACCCTCAGAGGGCCTCTATGTGCTCAGTGATCAGACAGCACTCCAAACCCTGTCTTTTCTGGATTACCCTAGAAGTTTCATTACAAAGTGTGATAAACCAATTCTCTGGCCATTGGCATCAACTCAATCATTAGCCACTCTTCCTCCTCAGAGGTACCAACTCTTTAAGACATGGCTGGTCCCCTGGCAATTACCCCCTCCAATCCTGTAGTTATCTAGGGAGCATTCTAAAAATGGTGTTACTCACATAAAAGGTATATTTGAAAGGGCTGTTTTCACCCTTTATCCTCTGAAGACATGGCAGAAAGCCAGGCCAAAGGGCTAATGATTTTGACAAAAGGTATCTTCCCATGTATTAATTACAAGGGATATGTGGGCTCTGAACCAGGAGGGATAGAGGAAAAACAAACTGCTGGTGTATGTGTTTCTGTGTGTGTGTGTGTGTGTGTGTGTGTGTGTGTGTGTGTGTGCGCGCGCAAACTGGTGGTGTGTGTTATATCACACCATTGACACAAAATGATCTCAACTTCCTACTGCCAAAATAAGCAAAGGGTTAAGGAACAGCCCTTAAGGAAAAATTATCATGAATAAAAAGCAGACACTGGACTGGTTTTGAATGCACTAATCTCAACCTCACGGGTACTTATCCAGGTAGGCATTGTTATCCCCTGATGATGAAATCGAGGAAGAATGGGCAGTATGTGGGAAAACCCAGCTGTGAATTCAGGTGCATCTAAAGAGCACTCCTTCTTTGTCCACAACCACTCTGTTGTGCTGTGTTCAATTTAGAAGTTACTGATAAAGTCACATAATAGATTATCCATAAGTAAAACACACTTGGCATCTACCAACCATCTCAGGGAATTACGGTGAAAATTCACCCAGGCACTCTGTGCTCTGATCTCATCTATAACATGATGCCACGGATGAGTTAAGACTCAGCAAGTACCAACTTATTGAAGCAGGTAAGGACCAGGCAAGAAGAATGTTTGCAGGTCCACCTCCTTTTTTGACACTCTGCTGGAGAAATGTCAGAAGGCTCTAAGCAAATCCTGTTCTTCCTCGGGCTCAAAAAGGCACCTGCAGTTCCAGAGTCTCTGTGATTCAGAGCTGAGGAGTAGAGACTGAGGTAAGTCTCTAAGGTGGAGGTGAGGCCAAGTTTTGAAGTGTTTGTGGTTACCATGGTACTGGGGGAGTTGGCCACAAATTTAGAGCCATCTGGATAGCAGAGAGGGAAAAGAAAGATGTTCTCATTTGGGCAGAGAAGGCTCCAGAAAAAGACTTCTAAAAATACTACATTTGGGGTAACTTCTGGCCCAGAAACAGCTACCCAACACCCCTCCCAAGGCCTGTAAGGTCAAGTGGAGTTGCAAAACACAAGAGTTCAAGTGCAAGAACTTGGGCTGGGAAAGCCATCTACTCTTTGGCACAAATCAAGAGCCAGGTGGCTCCCACCTGCCACTGGTGGGCAACGTGGAAAACATGGGTTAGTTCCTGAGCTATCTGGGTCATGCTGGGGCCTTAAAGAGCAGGGTTGCTATCTTGGGTTGGATTCTATATCCAAGGACCTCCAACAGGAGGAATCAGGTGTCGTCTCTTCCCTCCTAGAAGGTCAGGATGATGTGAGCTGCGACTCCCACGGCAGCCTGCTGTGTTTTCTGTGCCAGCTTTAACTGGAAGTGGCCATCTGCCTCAGTCTGCGGGACCTTGAAATCAACCCTCTACAGTGAGGCCAGCACTGTTCTGCCAGGTGACCTGAAGTGTTCCAGAAAATGCATCTCACAGGATTCCGGAGAACACTGGTTGTTGAGAGGTAGTGAGGACAAGTGACAAGCGGCTTTCTTTACCAGTTCCTTTTTCTTTTTTCATTTTTTTTTTTTTTTTGAGAGAAGCCCAGGCAGTATGAATCTGACCCACTACCATGCTTCCTCATGCCTCTTAAGAACTTTTTGCCAGGCAGTTGGTGGTGCATGCCTTTAATCCCAGCACTGAGGGGGCAAAAGCAGGGGGAGCTCTGTAAATGTGAGGCCAACCTGGTCTACAAAGTGAGTTCCAGGACAGCCAGAGCTGTTACACAGAGAAATCCTGTCTTGGGGCGGGGGGAAGAGGTTTACAGTTTTGTTGTTGTTTGAGCCAGGGTCTGATGTAGCCCAGGCTGGCCTGAACTCGTTATGCAGCTGAGGATGACTTTGAACTCCTGATCCTCCTGCTTCCATCTCCCAAGTATTGCGTTTGCAAGTGCGTGCCACTTTGCACTGGGGACTGAACCCGGGGCTTTGTGTATAAAGGCAAATACTCCACCAACTGAGGTACATGCCAGCCTTCATCACATTATTATTATTGGTTTTTGGAGACAGGGTTTCTCTGTGTAGCCCTGGCTGTCCTGGAACTTGCTCTGTAGACCAGGCTGGCCTCAAACTCAAGAGATCCATCTGCCTTGGCCTCCTGAGTGCTGGGATTAAAGGCCTAGCTCCTCATCAAATTAGTAATGCAGAAAGATGCTGTGGTCATTAAGAGTCAAATAGCCTTAGCCTCTAAAAGATGGAAGCATGTCTGAAACTTTTTTGCTTACTGAGACAAACAGGAGGTACTCAATAATAAATGGTAATATGTATAAGTTATCAATGTTTTGTTTGTATAATTTATAATTAACAAAGTGCTTATTATCTACCTCATTTAATTCTTATGGCTGTGTGTGTGTGTGTGTGTGTGTGTGTGTGTGTGTGTGTAGCTAGAAATCAAACTCAGAGCTACCAAATAGGCAAGCACTCGACCACTAAGTTACAAAAGAACAGCGTGTGTATACAAATTGTGTGTGTGTGTGTGTGTGTGTGTGTGTGTGTGTGTGTGTGTTTGCGTGCACATGTGTAGAAGCCAAAGACCAACTCAAGCCAAGGTGGTTCTCTCCTTGTACCATGTGGGGCCCAGGGATCAAGTTCATCAGGCAGGTGCCTTTTCCCCATGGAGCATCTCACCAGCCTTAATTATCTTATAGTTATCATATAACTATAGTTATGTTCTATTTTGCTTAGAGCAGAAATGGGACTTGATCCCCAAGCCTAGAAGCTCTGGCTTGCCCTTTCCATTGTCCCATACTTCAGTACTGCCTTGGTAATGCCTGCTCTCTGCCCATGGGAACATACAGTTCCACCAAGCACCATCAAGCTCAAAGCAGAAGACACCCAAATCTCCCAAGAGGAGCCCTCATACTAGGAGATGGCTCACCTGCTGAGTTGACAGGTTATACACCAAGGAGGTAAGAGGGGACAGTCAAAGATAGCCCTGAGACTGGCCACTCCTGTTCAGACAGCTGCAATTCAGCTCAGGCAGGAGCAGTCTCAGCGGGGGGAACTGCTTTACTTACTATGGTGGTGAGAAGTCGATATATGTTCAGCTGTGGTTTGCTCAGCCCTGGTAGGGTGGGGCTGGCCACTCTGCCCCCTGTCAGCACTCCTTCCTCTTCTTTTTCCTTTCTCACTATAAATCACTACAAGGGCAGGAACTAACTTGGTGCCCTCTGCTGGCCCCAACTGTCCCTTCACTACTCACAGCCGTCCTGTGGATCAGCGGTCCTCAATTCTGGACTGCCCATCTGGTCTGCCTGCATAGCCTGTTAAACAAGGATGTCTGCCCCACCCAGGCAACCCACTCGGACTCTCCCAGGGAGGAGCTCAGCTTTTTTTTTTTTTTTAAAGAGCCCCAGGATTCCTGAGGCAAAATCTGACAGCGGTTGCAAAGGTCAGAAGCCCAGAGAAGAAAAGTGTACTTCAAGCAAAGCCTCCTAAGAGCTCTCTGTACAAAGGACATAGGCTCAATTCTATCACAAACTAGCTGTCATTACCTTTACACCTGTTACTTAACCTATCTGACTTTCAATCTCCTCAAATGTAAATCCTGTTGAAACTGGGTTAAGAGTTGCTTTGGGAAGTTAAATCGTTTGTGCAAGCACCCTGTTCACAGTTTGTCCCATAGACTCCCAACAACTCAGTCTAACTTGACACTAACTTTTCTTGGAATCCCCAGCACCTAGCATAGAATGACGATGCTTGCTAAAAGACTATCAGAAGCCTGCCAAGAAGCCACAAGGGTAAGACATATAAAGACTTGGAGAAGTGGGAGAGAGGCTATTTGAACAGTGAATCCAAATATACAACAGCCACATGAGAAGCACAGCTGAGATCCTAAACGTGGAGAAGTCACCACTAAGGAGAATGAAGTCAGCGTTCTGGCAGGTCGGAGGCAGCCCTAGCTAAACCCCTGACAGCTGCTACCCAGCAACTGTTTGTGGGGCAGGGTGACTGCAAAGGGGAGCAGCCTTGCCGCTCCCTTCCCAAGGCCAGACTCCTGACGACAGGGTGTCAGTGGCATGTGCTATTTCGAACAGCACATGCCCTGCCAAGCTCTTCATGGTGGCGTCGCAAGGCCCATGAGGTCGGGGTACCCAGAGGGGGGCTCCAACTGGGGAAGTAGGAGGCTGGACCATGGGGCTAGGGAAGGTTGTGGGGCTCAGCACTGGCCTCATCCCCAAGTCTGGCAGCTGCTCCCTCTACTGGACCTCAACGTTCGAACCCGCTTTTCCCGGGAAACACTTTCCTCCAGGGTTACCTAGTAACAACGCCCCCGGTTGCATAGCAACGAGGATCCGGGTCCCAGGCTTGCTAAGCCTCATGCTCCACGTTCGACCCCTCCCCACTCGGGCTCACAGGCCTAGCGGCTCCGCCCTGTAGCCGCCTGCAAATCTGTCCCTTAAGCTGCGACTACAGCGGGATCTCGGACCGCACTTACCCTGCTCCGGCCACCACTATCCTTCACGTGCGACTTCGCTAAAAAACGCGCCAGCAAACCCGCGCCTCAACTCCCTGGGTGTTGGTTTATAATCTGCGCATGCGTGGGGCGATTGAGCTGGGAGACTGGCGGGCCTCTTTGCTGCCCGAGCGGACACCGTGGGCGCATGCGCTTTGTTCGCTCCATTACGGTTTGTGTGCATCTGTGTTTCCCATCGAAGCATTTCCAAGAAAAGAATGGCGTCGGATATTGGAGCTGGAACGGAAGCCTTTGGCAGGAAAGGGGAAAAAAATAATAATTCTTTCGAGGCTGTGGCGTGGGTAGAGTCGGTGGTTGGTTCGGGATTCGGTGCTGATCGGAGCCTGCCACGCATTTAGGGCAGCCCAATTTCCCGAGGCAGGGATGCTGCTCCTGCGGCATCGCGGGAAGTGTAGTTCTTAGGCGGGGCTCCGGATAGCACCTGGAGGGTTGAGGAAAATTCTCGCTAAAAAGGGACAAAAGGAGGAAAAAGCAAAATGTCTTAGTGGACACGTTAGCGGTGCACTGCCTTGGGGAAACTCATCCGCTACGGGAGAGAGCAAAACCTCACCCCAACTCTGCAGGTGACTCCCCTCAAAAAACTTTGCTTAGACTTGTAGAGGAAGGAAGCAGCTGCGCCCCCCTACTTACCCCGCCTTTTAGAACCACTGAGGTAGCTTTGTGAATGGGGGTAGGCACAGGGATTTAAATTTTTAACTTACATGTATTTGTTTTGTGTGTGTGTTTGGGTGTGAGCATCACAGACTACTGTGGAGATCAAAAGACAACTTGGCGGAGTCACGTCTCTCCTACTATGTGGAGCCCATGGAATTCAGGTTGTCAGGCTTGGCGACAAGCACCTTTATTGCTGCCCAGTATTGTTGCTGTTGTTTTTAATCCCCATGGATGGCTGCCATAAGACAGCCCCCCTTTAATGTTAAAATGCCTTCTTCAGAAACAAACTCTGCCCCACCCCCTTCTTCAATCAGCCTTCCAATTCTCCCTTCACACCAAATCTGTCACCCCACACAGTTGTTTCTCTATCAGATGTTTCTCAGACTCATCCATCTTCTTCTGCACCTTTGGTTGCTTCCTGCCTCTCGGTTGGAGTTTTCTTTCCAGAAGCGGGTCCTGGTAGAATCCTCATTTTGGAGGCTTCTATAGTTGCAACTTAACATTTGCTTGTGGAATTTCTTCTTCCAATTTCAGTGTGCCTCAAAAGAAAAGATTCCAGGGGTGGTGGGCTGGTAGTGCTGTTTCTGGGTTCTTATCATCCTTGATTTTAGGTTGCAAGTACCTTGGGAAATTAACATAGGGCCACACATTGAGGTAGGACAGAAAAATGGAAGTGTATGGGAACATGGGAAGGGAAAGGAGGCCCTCACTCTGGAGTCTGGTTAAAGCTTCCCACTAGCTAAGAGCAAGACTCCAACACAATTAACTACGTAAAGCCTTTCTTTTTTTCCTATGTAAGCCTACAAGTTTCTAGGAACTTCACTAGAAACTCCCATTTACAATAAGAAGGACATGTCATAATCCTCCCCCACTCGGTGCAACCCTAGTAGATTATACTACTATCTCAGTCACCCTATAAAATCACTTACCAGAAAGAGAGAAAAACAAAACAAAACAAAAAAGCCAAAACCAAAACCAAAAACAAACAAACAAAAAACCTTAGCAACCCTTTAAGATGTAACTTGAGAGTCACCAGAATGTTTTGTATGGGCTAATGCTATGACACTTAATTGTGACTCTCTTGAGATTCCTGTATACACACTTGGTTATGTCTTATTCCTTGCCTGGGTGTCTTTCTCTCTTAAATCTTGTTCATATATATAATCTTTAATAAACTTCAACTCTGCTTCATACTAGCTAGCCTTCAATTCTTTTCTGTGTTGAAAAAAGGATCAAGCTTCACCTGTCAGGATTCCTTAAAGGAACTCTCCAAGCTTTTGTGGGTGACAGTGTGGAGCTGTTAGTCCCTGCCACCACTGACCCAGGGAAAGGGAACAAGTTCCTCTAACCCTTGCTGTCTGCTCTTTCAGCTGGCAGTGTCAACTGCTACCTTAATTAATCCTCTGCTCCTAGTCCACACTCATGGCTACTGAATCTCTTGAGAAACAAAGATGCTTTGGGGATTTTGCCAATGTGCTCCCATATTTCCTAAGCAGCAGCAGCAGCAGCTCTTGCTTTAGAGGTGCAAGTTGGGGGAACAAGGCATAGGATTCCCTTTGCAGGGACCCGAGACACCTTATGTGCATACCTTTCCCCTCATGGCTTCTTTTGTTTGTTCCAAAACCAAGCATCCTTGTGGGAATTCAGGAAAATGACTCACCAAACTATGGCACTTTGGCATGTGTTCTAGTTGGCTTTCTATTGCTATGATAAACACCATGACCAAAAGCAGCTTGGGCTTCCCTGCCCAGACCACAGTCCATCAATGAGGGAAGTCAGGGCAGGAACTCAAAGCAGGAACTTGGAGGCAGGAACTAACGCAGAGGCCATAGATAAGTGCTGCTTACTGGCTTGCTCCCATGGCATGCTCAGCCTGCTTTCTTATACAACCCAGGACTACCTGCCAATGGCACTGCCCACAGTGGGCTGGGCCCTCCTAACTCTATCATAAATTAATAAAATGTCCCATAGATTTGCCTGCAGGACAACCTGGTGTAGGCATTTTCTCAATTGAGGTTCACTCTTCCCAGATGAACCTAACTTACATCAAGTTGACCAACGCCAGCAACAACTAATGAACCAGTATGGCACACTGAACTAAAGACTACCAGAAGCAGGCTCAGAAAGCAAGGACTCTCTGACCTCTAGATCCTCTGTCTCTTGTCCCCTTTCCCCACCCTCAAGTGTGGGGAGGGCTTTCTCTAAAGTACCCTTATTAGCCTAAAGATAGTCACCCCCATAAAGGAATCCTGTTGTCATGAGTCCCTTGCCTGGAAAGCCAACCGGCCTGGGAAGGTTCCCTCACAGGAAAGAAAGAAGACATGTCAATTTAACTCTCTCTCTCTCTCTCTCTCTCTCTCTCTCTCTCTCTCGTTGTTTGTTTTGTTTTTGTCTTGCCCCAACTCACTATTTAGCTGAGGATGACCTTGAACTCATCCTGCTTCTACCTCCAGAGTATAGAGATTACAAGTGTTTCCTGCCATGCCTGCTTCAGTGCTGAGGTGGAACCTGGGGCTTCATGCACACTAAGGGTAAGCCCTTTACTAGCTGAGTCCACAATTACACTTCTGAAGCATCCTCATAGACAACTATTATTGTCTGAGAGACTATGTATTTGGGATTTGAACTCCTTGGCCTTGGTGGATAAGGCAAGTGCTCTGCCTCTGAGATACATCCCCAGCCCCCTCTCGCCTCTGCCGTCGTTTATCCCAAGTTCATTTCTCCTCGTTCTTTCTTATTCCTTATCACCACTCCATACCCAGAGGCCCCAAGCCCTCACTCCTACTGCATCGCAGGAATGTATCAAATCCTCATTCACCTGGCCCTTCTCTGTTATATTTTTTTGTGGGACTCTGACATATATACGTTTAATTAAAAATTGTTTTACTCCTATTTATCTACCACAATTTCATTTCATAGACTCAAGTATTAAGACTTAAGAGAGTAGTCAGGCAGTGGTGGCACATGACTTTAATCCCAGCACTTGGGAGGCAGAGGCAGGGGGATCTCTGTGAGTTTGAGGCCAGCCTGGTCTACAGAGCGAGTTCTAGGACAGCTAGGGCTGTTACACAGAGGAACCCTGTCTCAAAAAAACAAAAAAGACTTAAGAGAGTAAAAAGGAAAAAAAGAAAAAGAAAAAAAAATTTTAAAAAGAGAGTAGAAAGTTTTTCTTTCTCTTCTGCCCTGAATCCTTTCCATTGTTGGAGGAGCTGGCCTTTTAAACTAAAAAGGTTTCAAGAGGTTCTCTTTCCCCTGACTTCTGGATACCATTTATATCACAGCTATAAGCTTAGTATAGACACACTTTTGATGTTGCTCATGTGATATCACCAATTTGTAATGCAATATCTACAAGGCACATGGTACCAATAATTAATCACCAGGTGTCATAGTCTGATTTGTGTTGCTGTAACAGAATACCAGAGGCTATTTATAAAACTGCAGAGGTTTATTTAGTTCATGTTTTTGAAGGTTCAGAAGTCCAAGAACAGTGCTCTAACACCTGAAGAGTGCTACAACATATAACACGACAGAGAGAATCACATGGTAATTCCAAGCAAGTGTGCCAGACAGTAAGATGTGTATGTGTACATACCACTGTGAGCATGTGGAGGTCAGAGGGCAACTTTGTGGAGTTAGCCCCCCTCCTTTTATGTGGGATATGGGGATTGAACTTGGGTCATTAGGCTTGAACAGTAGATGTGTTTCCCTCCTGAACCATCTGGCTGGCCCTATTTTATTTTATTTTTATTTTTATAGTGCTAGGGATCAAACCCAGGGTCCTGCACTAGCTAGTCAGGCACTCTGCCACTGAGCTCTGTCCCCAGCTCTACAGACCAAGTTTTTATAACAAGGCCACTCCTTTAATAACCTTCTAACCTGTTAATCCCATAATCTATGAGGTCAGATCCCTTACCACCCAGTCACTTCCCAAAGGCCCTCTCTCTCAACACTGCCATACTGAGGGCCAAGTTCCCAACATACCAGGTCTCTTTTCTTTTATTCCATTTGTTTGTGTGGCTTTTCCTGGGGTGATGGCCAAAAAAATCAACTCCACTCAAGCCTAGCTTGGTAAAGCAGTAAGTTTATAGGTGTCACTTAAAGGCCCATGGGTGACTCAAAGTCAACTGCATGACTAACCAGCCCACCCCAACATGCGGGAGAACTCACCAAAGCTGCTTCCCTGGGGCTCCCTGGCCAACCTGTGGGCAGTTCCACTAGGTCTTTCCTCTCCGGAAATCATCTGCTGCTTTTATAACAGTGGGGAGGGGCTTTGAGAATCTTGAAACAGTCTGAATTTATTGAGCCTGGTAACCGTCACTAGTTCCTTGAGTTTTAGGGGGCTTCCTTCTTCCTCTCGAGGAAATGTTTCAACTCAGAGGAAATAGATACACAATACTACCCCGGTCCAAACTACATAGTATGTATCTTCCAGGGGAAACTTCTGAAAGTATGATTATCAGTTCATAGCTCAAAATGCAATCAAATGCTACTTTGTTGCCAGACCAATCTAGTCTAATCACCTTGGGTTCAGGGGCCCCACCTAGATTGCTTTATTTCCCACCGTACATCTAAATACTTGAGATCCTGGCCTGTCAGGCAGCCTGCCATCCAATAAACAATAATGACAATGTCCCTGCTAAGTGTCAGACACTGGATGACACTCTTGGACTCTTGAGAACTAGGAGAGTAGGACAATCTAGTAGAGGACCCAGCTACCAAAAACTTGTAAGAGGTCAGGAGAAGGGGTGCAGAGGAGGCTGTACTTAAGATGAGCCTGAGGTTTGCATTGGGGGGGTTTGGCCAGGGAGTGGAAAGGAGTTGATGAAAGTTGTCCATGTAAATATTTTGAGCCACCAAATGCAAGTGTGATGGGGGCATTGCAGGGCTGATGTGTCTGAGAAGGCAAGGTGAGGCTGTGGAAGATGTTGGCTCACCAGAAACCTGTGGTCTCAGGACTGACGCCTGTCCCTCATTTAGGTCTCAGCAAAAATGTTACCACCCTTTGTGCTGGTGAGATGGCTCACTGTGAAGAGGAACTTATTTATTGCTGAATCTTACAGCCTGACTTCGATCCCAGGACCAACATGGTAGGAGTGAACTGATTCTCCAAAGTTCTCCTTTGACCTTTACACATGTGCTGTAGCACACACACACACACACACACACACACACACACACACGCAGGCACACATGCACACACACACACACACACACACACACACACACACTAAAATCTTAAGTGCTAAAAATAAACATCACTTCCCGGGGGGGCTACTGTTGCACGAATCCTAACTGGTCTTATAATAAAAACCCAGAGCCAGATACTGGGGTAAATTCTGAAAGATCAGAGGAAACAAACCACAGTCACTTCTCACCTTGCCAACTCCTCAGTTGAAAGGGGAGGTGAGATCCTGTCTCCAGAAATCCTCAGGCTGAATGCTTCTG